ATTATATCAGAGAATTCGTTGAAAATCGATTATAGTTAAGAGTTAATTTTTTCTAAAGTCTCTCTACACTGGTAATTGCATTCAAGAAAAGTTGAGGAAACCGAGGAGTGAAGTCAAAGTCCTTCTACATCTTGAGAATTTCTCGATAAAATGCCATAATTTCTTTTGGATGAAGTGGTTTTAAAACCATGAACACTATGGAGGTTAAGCGCGATGTTTTTTGGACGCGAACAGTAGCCTTTAGTTCGGAATTCTTTTTGAATATCCAGATATTTTGCCTGAAGGGTTTGATTTGAAATCTGTATACAAATGCAACTAATTCATTAAATCAACACAGCAAAAAACGATGACAAAACTAAATAACTTGTCGCATTCCCTAAAAAGTAATTGTCATTCTGGATCCAAAAGTTCTCATCAACATTCTAAATCTGATGATATTCCTGTAAGACGTTTTTTACTCGCTCTGTTTGCGTAGCTTGAATTTTGTTACTCTGGGCTGACTTTTTGTGATACACTAAGTTAATTTCAACTCCGTTAAACAAAATGATCATCACTCTCGGCTTTGAGGATAAAATGAATTATTAGATTTAAATTTCCGACTCTTACAAAAGTTGCTGTTGGTACAATATGATCCCCCCTTACCTTCTTGTCCAATCTTTTGTCAAACGCTCCACTTGTAGATTTGGACGCAGAAGTTTCAATTTAGTACTCCAAACAAGAATATCCGAATTGAGAAACACAGCATGATAGGGTTTACCTTCTGTCATCCCACAACTTGGTCTAAAGTGATTTAATTGTTGTAAGACCATAAAAAACCAAACATCTAGTATGTAACTTAGGAACACTGACTTCCTCGAAAACATTTCTCTTGCCGAAAACGTTGGTAGAGCTTAATTTATTTATTTTTCAGATGACAGATAGCGTCATTTTTTATCGTTCCAATGAATTGCAATGATTTTCAAAGTAACTGTGCTGATCACAAATCAGAGTACACCATGAGATGAAGAAATGCTGCTGAATTATTATTTTCGGCGATCAACTGAATCGGAAATCAAAATTTGCCCATTTTAGCTTTTAGGTGATTAAAACAAAAATAAGCCAGAGGAGGCAATTTCTATATATGATGCACCTAACAAGGTTCAGTGCTCATCCTGAAAAGAGCATTCTTTTGAGACCAGAGTTGCAGTAGAGATAAAGGATTTTATTAGGCTGTCGTATAGAGAAGGGCAAGGAAAATTCTCACAAGTTAGGCGGGGTCTAATGGCTGGTTCATTTGAGTATGTAATTTTAGAGGTTACTCAAAATGAATGGTGTCAGTCGTTTTTGCTGTTTTTGGTCTGTTTTATCTTTTCTTTCGTTGTTTCTAAACAAAGGGTAAATTTTTGTATCTACGATAGTATTCATACAATCAGTAACGAATTCAAATATATTTTTTTTCAGGTGAAACCTAAAATCGGGTACCGTTCAACAGACACTGACCTCAAAAACTTATCTTTATTCTATATAATCTCTTACTATTTTCGTTCGTTAATACATATATCTTATTAGACGTTTTGTTGTGTAGTATCGCTGAGTATTTTTACGAGTTGTGCCTTATTTTAATACAAATTCATTACAATACAAATACCGAGTAAAATACAAATAACGAGTAAAAATACTCAGCAATACTACACAATAAA